GGTATGCCAACTTTTGATCACAGTAAATTCTGATACCAATAAGTTCCTGAACAAATCAAAAAAAAAAATTGGTACACCAAATATCTCACAGTAAAATATTTGGGATTCTGGAATTCTTCGGATCTACATACATACTGTACGTGAGCAGGTGAGCATCAACAAATATACTATATTAAACTACAAAGAAAGAAGATTTTAAACAATTTTGCTTTTTATTGGACAAATGTTAAACAGACAACCGAGGACACATGTCCTCTGAGACAAGATCAACATTTGGTGTGTGCTGCTTTTAACGAGCAGGCATGTAAAATAGTATATGTGTACTCCGAAAGAGCATTATCTACTTGAACTAGGGCTGTAGTCAACCAAAGAAGATCATGGTCGACTGAAGCCATGACATTTCAACTGAACTGACTAAACTTTTTAAGTAATCGTTTTACATTTGGTTGTTTTCCTGCTACCAATGTGTTTCACAGACATCCTGTCCATGGCGCTGAAAATGGCTGTTGGCCTGCCACCTGCTGGATTGTGATGCAAAATGTGTTTGGTGGTAATGTGGTATTTTTAGTTTTTCATGTTTTCATCAGCTGTTTACATCAAAGGTGTTGAATTTTACATCAGGGATACTAGTTAAAGGCTTATAATTTGTTGAACGTGGAAGAATTAAGGTAAACTTTTCATTTAACTTTTTTCAGTTATCTAGTGTTGTACAATGCTGCCATACTGTCAATGTCTTGGGCATGGTGGAGACTGATTGTGAATGAAACGCTTAAAATTAAATAATTATTCAGCAAACCACCGGACCTAGGCTTTCTGGTTCATTATTTAATCTGTCTGTGGGTTAAACTTATCCAAATAGTTAAAACAAGGGGGCGTTCTGAAGTAGTGATGGGAAGACAGACTTTTTTTTACTATTCGGATCTTTGACTCTCGAACAGTAAAATTAACTTGATGAATCATTTCATTCGTTTTACAGCAGGTGGCGCTTTAGCCCTATTGTGGGCGTTGTAAAGAAGGCTGCGGTTCTCCAACACTAAATACTAAAGGCAATATTGTTTGCTTCCGCTGAAAAAGGCTACAAAGAACACAAAATGCAATAAGCAATTAAAACCACGTAAAAAAAACACACCACAATGTGAAGATGAATGAGAGCAAGAGACTCGAGCTCTCTGTCACGTGACAAATGAAACGAATCTGCGAGAACGAAGCTTTGAACGAATCTACGAGAACGACTCTGCTGAAACGAATCTGCGAAAACAAATCTGTGACAACGAATTTTTGAACGACTCTGAGAGAACGAATCTGAGATTAGTTCACAGTCAAAGATTAGTTCGCGGAGAGTGATTCGTTCATAGTGAAATATTAGTTCAGAGCGAATGATTAGTTCACAGTGAAAGATTAGTTCGCTGAGTGATTTGTTCACAGTGAGTGATTAGTTCGCAGATAGTGATTTGTTCGCAGTTAAAGATTCGTTTGCAATGAGTGATTAGTTCGCAGAGTTATTCGTGAGTGATTCGTAAGTTCAATATGAACACATTTTTCATATGACTTGGGAGTCACGAGTCACGAATCTTTCATATGACTCGAGAGTCACGAGCCATATTGAACGAATCACTCGCGAACGACACATCACTATTCTGAAGACAGAAAGGCGTCATCCTTACCGGTGCTGAGATGTTGATTGCCCAACGTTCGCTTCGCTTTGTCACGAATTGTCTCCAAAATACTGTTGGCAGCCAAATGCTTTTCATTGATCCAAATCAGTAGCAACTTATCCACTTCTCCTAATGTCTGATATCTTTGCTTGGTGACCACAGTCACTCTTTTGGCAACGTTGGCATTTTTATTGCTTCCTTGTTCTTAATGATGGTACAAATCGACGACTTTGCTAAGCTATACCGTAAAGCCAGCGCAAGAAAAACTTAAAAAATTAAAATTTTAAATCCCACGCGTGGACTGACGCCGAACACTGATTACGTGGTATTGTCTTTTGTTTGGCAACGACTGGGATATCACAGCCCTAACAGTTTTACTCACTTTATAACATTTGTTTCTACCACATGTTTTGGTTATGATTGTTCTGCTGACTGTCCTGTCCAGCTGACGTCAGTGGTGGAGGTGCGGTCTGTTTAGATTGGCACAGCGACACCTGAGAAATAACAGCATCTTGATTAGTGATAAGGCTGCAACCACCATGCACCTTAGGTACAAGCTAAGCTGGTAGCCAAATAAGTAGCTAACATGTCACACAGAGATGATGTCCTTACTAGATGTCCTTGGTTGCTTAAAAACATTTCAGAAAATAATAAACATCGGTCAGTTAACTATTATAGTAATGAACTCTTGCAACAGCCGGCCAAAAGTCTTCACTCGCTAAGGTTCATGGTTAACAAAACAACATCATTTTATCTACAGATGATTTTTAGTGTCAGTTTTTCTCTCCAGTCAGCTGGATATCTCATTTTGCCTAAAAATCCTGGAAATAGCTGTTGAGCAACTGATGCATGGCATGTTTATGTGATACAGCTAAAGTAACAGTTCCTCTGGTTCATTGTGACTGGCACAATAGCCCAGAGTGTAACGCCTCTTAAATTCTCATTATGTAGAAAGAATCTGTCGATTTGTTTCATTGATACGTGCAGTCATCATTTATGACAGGTGTCCAACTGGTCTGAACCAAGGACCACTGGGTACAAAAGCACAGCTAAGACACTGCAACTGTATTTTAAATGCTTATTTACTTGTATTGCTTGATAACCTGGACATGGTGATACGATCACATTTATCAGAAATTGTTGTTTTAAGGGGAAGATGTTGTATGGATGTCTTCCACCTTATGGCCAGGACAATTGATACCACTTTGTGTAACAAAAAAAAGGTTGTGTGCGCCAGGGAATTTCCTGTGACAGGGCTTTGCTTACCAGAAATGAACAGTTTGATTTCTTTTTGGTCTAGACACATAGAATCATGTTTATGTTAAAGAGAAATTCAGACACGTGACATTTGACCTCACCTGTCTGGCTGACTCCAGAAGTGCTGCGGCCTCAGTTGGACCCATCTGTTGCACTAGCTTGTAAAGAGCGCCCTCTTTGTTTTGAAGCAAGGTGAAGGGGAGATCATATTCCTGGATAACACCATTGTCCAGCACCTGAGAGAAGAGTGAGAATTACAGAATAACAGAAAGTTTTTTTTTTTTTATTACGGAGTGCCACCAGCTACTTCTAGAACACTGGGGGGGTTTTGGATCAGTAACCACAGCCATAGAATCTATATCACATTTTTTCAGATTATACACCTCCAGTGTTTATTAAAAAATAATTAAAATTCCAGGCGGTTAGTTAGATATGAGATGTAAATGCAAAAATAATAATGCAGCAGTATTTCATTCTAGTCAAAGTAAGTAGTACTGTTAGCACATCATTTAGTAAATACTTATTAATAAATCACCTTTTGGGATAGGCTGATCTGTTTTTTTAACTGAAAACGTAAATGTCAGACAATATGTCCGTAAAACACTATGTTCTCAACCTCTGGAAAAACTGCTTCTAAAGCAGCTACAGTTAATGAGTAGCAGCACTCACCAGGATACGATCACTATCTATGATGGTGTTGAGACGATGAGCGATGGTCAGCACGGTACACTCTCTGAATTTGTCTCGTATGGTTCTCTGGATCAGCTCATCTGTCCTTCAGTTCCACAGATGTTGGTGAAAACATTGAACGCAAATGATCTAAAGATGGACAAACACGACTTACAGATACTTCAAGTTACTGTACCTGAGGTCCACGTTGGCCGTGGCCTCGTCAATGATCAGGATGCGGTTCTTCCTCAGGAGAGCTCTGGCCAGACAGACCAGCTGTCTCTGACCCACACTGAAGTTGGAGCCTGACTCTGACAGAACTGTGTCCATTTTAGCAGGTAGTTCCTCCACCACAGACTTCAGTTGAACCTAGAAAATATACAGGCTGTCACCCCACTGACACTCAAACATCCTACTCAAATATTGGCTGTATACACTCTACTTCCTGTCTGGTAGTTGAAGGAGGAAGTAACAACTAAATCACAACAATCACATGATTCAAAAACAAATTATTAATTTGAGGGTAATTTTCCCCATTTTGAAGGTTTTAATCATTTACTAGCAAATATCTTTAACCAAGCCAATATATCCAGACTCCACTATTGAGTTAATGAAAACAGGACACTTAGTGTTTGGAAAATTAGAAGCTTTTGGTCTTTCACTCAGGACAGATATTGTCTACAATATCTATATGTAAATGACTGAATGTTCACCTCCTCCAGAGTTCTCCACAGAACCTCATCTGAGTGTTGGTTCAAAGGGTCCAGATTTTGTCTCACAGTGTCTGTAAACAGCAGTGGGTCCTGAAGAACAAGGCAAATCAAAGGTGGAATTAACTACAAAGTTGAGGACCAAAGAGTTTCTATAACAAACAAATAATTAACAATGGTTATTTAACCTGTTTGTTGTTCTTGGGGACATTTTGAACTATATTTTCTGAAACTAAATCTATATTTGTGGTATTTGGTTTGAATATTTTATGAATAATAATGTGTAACACGGCATAGATTGAGAATTTCTAAGGTATAATTTAAAAACAGATCAGACCAGGCAGAGGTATTTTGACCGCAGGAGGACAATAATATACAAAATGAAAGGTGGTTCTAGTATTTGCTGTGGTTATGCAACACTTCTTGGTAAAACTTTCGATTGCAATAAAATTCTGTTTAAAAAAAATCCCCCAGCAGCAACCTATGCATACCTATATATGAGAAGCATATTTAGGTGAATTTTCATTCTTTACTTGCGGAATGATGGACATCCTCTGGCGCAGGTCATGGAGGCCAATCTCAGAGATTAGAACTTCATCAATGTAGATGTTTCCTTCAGGCTCCGAGAGGCGAAAGAGGGCTGAGATCAGGGAACTTTTCCCAGCACCTGTTCTCCCCACAATACCAACCTGACAAGGAAGACAGATAAACATTCTCATATTACAGTGCTTCTAATGAAAAACAATGTTCTATCACAAAAAAAAAACCACAACCTTCTCCTGGGGCTTGAAGGTCACGTTAATGTCTTTGAGGACTCGTGGACTATCGCAGTTGTAGGAGAGGTTTACTCTGTTAAAGGTAATTTTTCCTTGGCTTGGCCAATTAGAAGGAGGACACTTTTCAGTTTCCCAGGATGCCTCACTCTTGAGTTGTGTGTACTCCACCACCCTTTCCACTGATGTCATCTGTTGAATGCACGTTGAATAGTTAGGGTCAACCTATACTTTCTGTGACCAACTGTCCTCAGAGATCGCATTCTCACCATGTTCTCCACCTCTGCACTTTGTCTAACTGTCCATTGGAAGTTTCCAACAAGTGTCACAGCATACGTGAGCACCAGTCCCACCTCTCCAGCCCCCAGACCTGCAGAGACCAAATAAATAAATCAACTTCTTACATGAACAGACTGTTCTGTTATTTATAGACACCCTAGTGCTGGTGTTTGGACAGTTCTCACCATTCCTGAGAAAAATACAGCCAAATGAGGTAAAAGTGACAAAGATGGAGCAGATGGTGTCGAGATAAAGAGCAAACCAGCGGGAGGTCATGAGGAACAGAAACCACACCTCTGAGAATGGGGGAGAAAAATACGTTAAAAAAACCTCACAAAATCATTCACAATCTTCTTGATGCGATTCAAGCCCGTCGTGTTGAAAGGCAGCATAAGTTCAGTGGAGAATAGTGCCACCTGCTGTCGGAGAGGGGTAACTACAGAGTTGTTGCTTCAGTATTAGATGGCAGTCAGGTCGTCAGCAGTGACCAGTGTCGGTAGTTTAGATCGTTAAGTTTATATTAGAATTGCTGTTTATTTTTAATTATTTATTATTACTATGACAGTGTGCCTTTATAAACCAGTAAGTGAGCTGTTTATGGTTGTCTGCCTTATATATTGTTATTGTTATACATAAGCTGTTCTTTGGTTGTTTTCTACTACTGGTATATAGATTACAATTATATGCTATTCTGATTCTGATCCGATTCCTCACTTGGTCACAAACTTTAAATACCAGCAAATTATATAACACTTTCCACAACAACACCCCTGGCCAGTGGGAGCGCTGTCATCTTTTTTCTTTCTTTTTTAGTTTTGTACACCATATTGAGTAATAGTATTATTGTGCTGATGCTGTATTTTCAGGTATTTTATTGCTCATAACTGCAATAAATTATAACATGACAACATGTTCATATAGGCATGGAACAAAATAAATCGTTATTAAAAAATTAAATGGTACTCCAATTACTCATTTGTGTATTTCTACTTGATACAGCATTTAGTTCAATATCAAATAGAAAACTAAAGAATCAGAATTGAATCAAATTGAGAGATTCTTAAGATATTACTCTGAAATGTCCAGTGAATAAGACTTTGTCAAATCAAATGCTGAGATGTTACAGTGCAGAAAACAGATCACTCAAGGTTTACCAGTAAACTAACTTTGATGCCACAGACAAAGCAAATGAATTTTTTATCTTGTCTAATGGAGGACAGAGAAGTAAAGTGAAACCACAAAGGTCAACCTGAGTGCAGGTCCTGATGGTTATCAAAGACTCGCTGTAACCTGTCTTCAGCTTTGAAGACTCGGATCGTCCATAAGCCATGTAGAGATGAAGACAAATGAGAGAAGATTGGACTCCGAGCTGCGGAAGGATGTGTCACAGACATATCACTCTTTGTAACAGAACAAACATTTCGTTTTGAGTGGAAGCATCGACATACCAGTGGACTCCAGGCGTTTTACAGCCCGTGATGTTCTGAGGTAGAACCGTCTTAAGTAGACAAAGACAAACATCAATGGGATGATGGGAATCAGGATGAGAGGGATGATGTAGGCTGCGACAGCGACCACCCCAATGTTCTGTAGAAATAACTGTCATGGACAAATTTAAATATTATTACGTATTACTCAGTTCAGTCGAAGTAGCCCTCAGTTTCAAAAAGCTTGGTGACCCCTGATTCAGAGCAACTGGCTTGGCTTTAGTGACTAAAAGCTGACAGTAAACGTAAACTTACTTGATAAAAGTCCACAAAAGTCATGGGTAACATGGAGTCCATCTGGCCAATGTCTTTAGTAAATCTGTTTAGGATTCTTCCTAAGAAGTAAAAAGTGAAGTCATTAGAGTTGTGATAGAAGAATGTGATAGAGAACAGAAGGAAGTCAACTCTACCTATAGGATTGGCATCAAAAAATGATACCGGAGTGTGGAGGATTGCTTTGAACATGCTGTTGTGAAGTTTCTGAGATGATCTGACCAACCCATGACAGATCAGTAAACTCCGGGCATAGCCTAAGACCACAGCTGCTGCTGTCAAACCTGCGAGCACAGAACATCAGGATTGTGGTGAGGTTATTTAATGACTGACCCATTTTTTGATCGTCAGGAACGAGTCTACAGGCCCAAACAGCTACTTTTTTTGTAGCTGTAAACAAGTCTTACCTGAGTAAATACCAAGGTAGAACCTGAGCTCTGGGTCTGAGTGAGAATGGTGCATTTCTGTGTTATTCCTAACAGCAGGACGAGTACTGTTGACAGCATTCCCTCCTGTCCTGTCAGGTGACATTTTAAGTGAATATCAACATTGCTCCATATATTATCTTGAAGTGTTTCCATGCTCACCAGTAAACAAGCCACCAGTCATGCAGGATGTATGCAGCCTGCAAGTTAAAAGAAGTTCAGTATGCAGAATGACCGTGGTTACATTTGTGCCACAATTTGAAAAATAGTAAACAGATTAGATGATTGGAAAACTTGTGGTAGCTCGTATCGAGGTGAATTGCAAATGTGATTAATCATGAATAATTCACAGCTTCCCTGCAATTAATTAAAATTATTTATATAATTAATCATTAGACAACCCTAACATAGATATATAGACGGATGGATGGATACATGGATGCATTTACAGTATATACTGTGTGTGTGTGTACATATATATATATACAGATAACACAGATACAGTAAAGGCCCAACCCAGACAAACATGCTCCAAGCCGAGGCCACATCATGCATGAGCATGCACATAAAAAGGTCTGTGAGTTTACCTCAGCTATGATACTGAGCAGGACTATGAACATCAGGAACAGGATGTTTGTGTCAGCAGTGAAGTATTTGAGATAGATACGGCTGCTGACATCACCATCCACACGGGTCTCCTCTCCTGCAGCACAGACAAAGTCCACCTGCAAAGATGTTACAACGTCGTGTCTGATCCCATTTTGATAACGTTCATAATTTTGTCATTATTCTGTACAAAGCGTTTTTTTTTTAACTAAGGGTTGAAATGAAAAAAAAAACAATAGAAAAATCAATCGTGTGTGTGTGTGTGTGTGTTCTCACAGCCCGCTGTTGTGGGCAGCTGCTCTCCGGAGACAGGACGCCACTGTGAGAACAGTGTGAATTGTGCGACCTGTGACTCAGTAAAGATGTTCGGTCTGAGTCAGTTGATTGAGACAATCTCTTGTGTTCCTCATCACTCTTGGTCAAGGAGACAGTGTCCAGAGCAGAGGAGTGCACATCTCTGTATAGGCCCTGGGCCATAATTTGACCCTGGGGGAGACACAAAAATGTACATGGTCAAACAAAAAACAACCAAAGAGAAGTTTGGTCATATTCTAGAGCAGGGGCAGACAAAGTTTCTTGGTCACAGGCCAAAATGAGGTTCAAAATGTGACAGGAGGGTTCAGTATTGGTATCTGGCCCACAGGTCTTCGTTTTCCCAGGTCTGCTCTAGAGTCTGTAACTTTCTCCCCTGTTCATTCACTTTATCATTACTTAACAAAACCTTAGGTGCAAAAATGAAAATTTTACATTTGTTTTGCAACAGTATTGTATATTTGAAGCACAAACCTCCTTCAGGACCAGAGTCTGGTCATTTGCTCTAAGATGTTGGAGCTGGTGGGTGACCAGGATACAAGACTTGTTTTTCAGTAGGCCACAGATACACCTGATCAGAAAACAAAGACTTGTGAATGCTCTTTCGTTCTCCGTGTACTACAAATATGTACAATATAATTATATTATGTTAATTATGTGATTTTTGTTTTAGTTACTCACTGTTCAAAAATATGTTTTCCAACCTCAGGATCTACAGAACTTAAGGGATCATCCAGGAGGTACACGTCTGCATCCTGATACACAGCCCTGACAAAAGACACAAAAAAACAAAAACACAGGGAAAAGAGTTCACAAAACAAACTCTCTTAATTAAATTAACTACCATCTCATAATAGACTCATCTAGATGCTTTCTGTCCTTATATTTGTAACTGTCAACATTAGTCTGTTGGCCTCCATACCTTGCCAGGTTGACCCGAGCTTTCTGCCCCCCACTTAGAGTTGCTCCTCTGTCTCCTATTAGTGTCATGTCTCCATCTGGAAGCAGCTCCAGGTCCTGAAATCATCAGGTGCATAAAATAGAACAGGAAGATCGTTAACTGATGACTGAAGACTTAGTTAATGAAACAAAATGTAATGTTTAGGCAGTCTCACACTCTTTAAAGCACAGGCTCTGATGACCGCCTCGTACTTCCGTGGGTTTAGATCTCTTCCAAATAAAATGTTACTGCGTATGGTTCCAGGAAACACCCAGGGCTGCTGGGAGGCATAGGCCAACTGACCTCTGACCTGCAGTGTACCTGTGTCATGTGGAAGTTCTCCAAGGATGGCACTCAGCAGGGATGACTAGTGGAAAAAATTAAAGTTCATTATTAAGTTGTAAAATAAACACATTATCCTTGATGGTTAGTTTGTTATTGTCCCTGTTTTTATTTAGTTAATTTTTTATTCTTGCTAGTTGTTTTAACTGCTAGCAAAAAAACAGGATGGGAGACATCAAACATTAGAACCAACATACTGGTGCTCACTTTATTTGTAAATGTGTGTCCATTGAGTTTAAGGCAAGTGAAACTATAACAGGATTTTCCTGATGAACTAACCTTTCCAGACCCGACTGACCCAATAACAGTTAGAAGTTGGTTGGATCTCACAGAGAAGGAGACATCACAGAGCGAGTAAGCGTCTAATGTCTGACAAGAAACAAACAAACAGACAAACGAACCGAAACAAAACACACACACAATAAAGAAATAATTGCAGTTTAGTTTAATCCAAGTATAGGGTCATTGGAAAACCAATTTTTAAGATGTTAACCTTGTCCCAGTAGCAGGTCATCCCCTTTATCTCAATGGAGCTTTGATTCTTTTCAGCCGGAGGCAGCACAGAGATCTTTCTTTCAATTTCGTCCAGCAGAAGGAAATTCTGGGAGAAAACAAGTGTTTTGCTGTTTTTCTGATCTATTGGACATTTCTTACAATATGCCTACTACATACTGCTTGACTAGAAATGGTAAAAAAGTAAAAAGACAAACTAGTTTATGATTTTTACATCTGAGAATTTATAAATAAATAAACTGTTAGATTTGACATTTTTCAAAATAATCTTTAAAATGCTTCTTAGTGCCATTATAATGTTGTTGTTAGTAACTAGTAAACCATTGTTTTAGGTCACGTATTACGTCATGTGGGTCGATGAATGTTTCACAGAGTTTATAAAACACATTCTGTTTCTGTGAAGATGTGTCAACTATAAACCTTGAGAGAACTATGAACAGACGCTCTGGTTAATAAACTACTTTCATTACCTCAATCCTCTGAATGCTGACAATCGTCTCTGAAATTTTCTCCACAGCCAATGGGAAGAAAAGAGTGACAGTGATTTTTATTGTGCCGTAGAGCGACACAGTGACAAACACAGTGCTGGCAGTAATGGTGTTGCCAAGGAGAGAGTAGAGGGCAAAGGTAAAGAAGACAATGATCTTGCTGCTAGCAAAGAAGGAGGCCAAGTTGAGTCCACGCAGATAAGAGCTCTTCAATATCTGATGAATTTCTTTCCTGGAAAAATAGGTAGAATGAAGAGATAAGTATACAGTGGTCTCTTATCACTGTGGTTGCATTCCAAGACCCACTGTGAAAAGGGAAAATCCGTGAAGGAGAGGCGAGACAGTTTTTATGACCATTTACGAACCTCCCTCACACTGTTATCAACCCTCCCTAGACTGTATTACCCTTTCCCACACAATTATATGCACATTAGAGTTGTAGAATGAAAATATAAGACATACTGTACATTACATTACATTACATTACGTTACATTTAGCAGACGTTTTATCCAAAGCAACTCACAATTTGAGTCAGTCAGTCATCAATCAAGCTACAGTAAACATACAAAATACAAAAACATAAATAGTAATAAATAATAAATAGAAAACTACAGTTATACTAGTCATAGTAGGTCATAGAGTAAGAAGAGGTGCATGTTAGATGTTAGTGAATTTGTTAGGATAGGAGATGTTCTTTGAAGAGAAATGTGCTTCTTGAAAGAAGAGAGAGAGAACCCTGCTCTTGTGGCAGCTGGTAGTTTGTTCCACCAGGTGGGAACCAGGGTGGAGAATGACCGAGATCGCCTTGAATTGGAAAAATATTTACCATAAAATACCACGATAGAGCGAAAACTCTTGCGAGTTTGGAATAAAGAAAATCTGCAATGTACTGAGGGAGCGAAAGGAGAACCGCGATAGAGAGGGAACACTGTACTCTGAGACTGAAGGATGACTTGAATGCAGGTACCATTTAAAGATGGTTGCTTCAAATGCAGTTAAACACGCTTTGTCTTCCACTGAAAGGCACAGATATACAACATACAGCAGCTTAACCTACGGCTGTACAATTAACCTAATGCATTTGAGGCCACTCTGGAGTACTTTTTTTAAAAAGTCAAATTTGGTCCAATGTTTCATTATTAGTCATTACAACCTTATACCTTTTACTTATTTAAATTATTATTTATACATGGATTACAATTTATTTTTTATTTTATTGCTCATGAGCTACACAGCACCCCTGAATAAGGAGATCTCACATTTGCTGTTCATTATGTGTGCAATAAATTCTATGAATTTCCAAAGTCAATGAGTAATCATTTTAAATAATCATGATTTCAATTTTGACCAAAATAATTGTGTTTGATTTTTCAAAAATCCAGCAGCCTAAACTTAACCCCAAACTAAATTGATTTGTACACGTGGTTAACGTTACATATCTGCCCCCTTGAGTGTGTCTGTCCTCCACACTTCTAGTCAACAGCTGAAAAGCATAGTTATTCTCACCTTCTGACTTCAGTAACCAGTGCAAAGAACGGTTTCTCCCAGGCATACATTTTAATGATCCTTATGCCAGACACCACTTCATTTATGACACGAATTCGATGATCGGTGAGATGAGCTGTTTTACTCCTATGAAAGACATAAAAACAATGCAGTGGATCCCAGAAGAGGTACTCAGCAGTAACTATATATATATATATATTTATATATATATATATATATATACATACATACAGTGTTTAAAATATCACTGACATTCACACAGTGTATTTAAATACTGTCAGGACAAAGTAAAGGTACATGTGAAATAATTAATAATATTCAATTGTTTCTGGCACAAGCTTCAATGACTTGCTCCTTACCTGAAGATACCAAAGAGTTTTCCAAACCAAGTCTGCACAGGCAACATGAGTGCCACAACTGCAACCCCTGCCAGACATGAAAGGCCGATCTCATGCCAAAGAAAAACAATGATCACTACAGCTTGTAGAGGTGCCAGCCAAAGATAGTGAAGATTGATTGTAATCTGCAGAAAGATAACAAAACAGGAAGAATAAAAATAAAATAACCACAATCATGACAACCAATCTGTCTTTTTAAGGAATAAGCATATTACTTAATAGTTTTGCCATGTAGTGGTAACAACAACAAATTGCAACATTGTTTCTATTTATTAGTATTAGCTGACTCCATGCATTAGAGCTTTAAGTCTAATTTAAACTCACAACATTTTTTTTAATGTGATGCAAATTCTATTGCAAATGTGGGTTGAATACCAATGTGGCATTTCTGTTGTTTTTTGACCAAGTGTTCTTTTTTTAATTAAAAAAAGTAGACTAAAGTTAAACTTTTTGGAGAGGAGGATTGTTTTTAAGATGAATAAAAGATAATTTTGTTTCCAAGTGATGACTCAGTAACTCACAAACATATTTTACCTCATCGAAGCGATTAACATCATTTGCAAGAAGGTTGACAATTTGTCCAGTGTCCGTTTGTCCCATTGAATAACTACTGAGGCGAAGAGCCTGGTGGGAAAAAAGTCACTTGTCAAGTGAGGAAAAAAACTACTGAAAAACATGAGCTCTGCTAAATCTGAACTCACCTTCCTGTAGATCATGTGACACATGGCCACTCTCATCTTCATGCCTGTTCTTTGGACATGATAGTAGTAGAGGTGTTGGAGGAGAGTTAGTCCAAAAGTGGACAAGGACATGGCAGCAGCGTAACCGTAAACCCAGTACAGACTGACCAGGTTGTCGGGGTCATAATTCTCAAAAAATTGTATTATTTTGCCCAGTAGAAGTGGTTGGATGACTTTAATGACCTCCTTAAAAAGAGGACGACAAATTAAACAGATGTGACTGATTATGAATACAACAACAAAGATTAAATCTTAAAACAAATATTTTATAAACAATTACATACCAGTGAAAATGCAAACACACCAGCCACCGCATACGACTTCCCATAGCACCTGAGAAGAACTCTGCTGAGTTGGGGCTTCCAGAGTTCCTTCACTCTTCTCACTTCATGACCCCAAAATCTGGAGAAGAGAACAACAGGCTACCACAATAATAATCCTCACAACAATACAAGTACAATATAAAAATATGTATAAATAAATAAATGTAAACTTAGAAAGTAACAGGAATGCTGTATATGTATATAAATAATAATGACAAACACACCTACATGGTACTGTTATGTAAATGTATCACTGTGAAACAGTACCTCTGAAGTTCCTCGCCAAGAACATCACAACGAAATTCTGAAAGAAGGCTGTACATGTCACTTTCCTCAAGCTTTTGTTTGTAGCCCAGCCGCAGCAGAGGGCTTAACCAGCTGAAACAGACATCAGGGAAGTCATGCCCACAATAAACCCCAAGATTCCACCAATACTTGTAAATAAAATGTATCTTTAGAGATCAAATCATGAAACAACAGTTCTAACTAAAGCAGACATTCATGCAACTTTAAGGCTGTCAGCACTAACAGTGTTGTTGTTTCAAAAAGTCCTGTGCTCAATTCCCAAGGTGGAACCACATAATCACATAACCTCCCCGACTGGTTAGTCACTTTGGATAACTTGTCAGTTACAACTGGGGGGGAAACAGTAACAGTTAAAATCCCATTTAACACTGAACTTCTGAAGACAAATGTGTACAGAAAATTTCATATGTTTTTTTATAAATGTACTTAGGTTTTCTAAAGTTATGTTGTTACTAAATTCTAAAGGTGTATATCAGGAATTCCTAGAAAGAACCTATTTTCTTTTTCTTTCTATTTTATTTTTCTTTTCTTGTTTCTTTTTATGCAGAGAACACATTTGTGTAACTGCGAGTGCTTACATTGGATACACTTCCATCCCACACCATTCAGGTAAGTATATTTGTTTAGTCAAAACTAAAAACAACGTAAAGAAAGAACCGTATAAAGCAGAAGTTGTGGTGAATACCAACAGTTGCGTTCAGTTCCCATCAGCTATTGGACCAACGGTCTGTTTAGAATGTAGAGATTTGAGTTTTACAGTTACTGTTATTTAATCTTTAATCCCCGCCCCTTCTGACCTATAAAAACTTAGGACAGAAAATAAAGAATGTCGTCCCCCAAGTATCTCGTGACAGTAATTTTATAATGACTCACCATAAAAACAGCTGTGAAAGCCAGCCCGCGCTCTGCAGCGGGTTAAGTTTACCGTCTGTTTCCGTCCGGTCCGTCATGGTCGGGCGTCAGTCCAGGAATGTGTGCCGCAGAAAACGTGTGTATGCGCGTGTCCCCCACAGACCACTAGTCTGAACCGCCGGACGAAAGAAACGCCTTTCAGACACAGCTATTAGTAGTAAACGAAGTGGAAAGGGGATGGGGAAAAAAGGACTGGGAGCCGGAAGACGAGGAAGCGACTGAAAAGAGGTACAACTGGGATGAATGATAAAAAAAAAAGTAATGTAAATGTAAATTTAAAGTTGTAATGTAGGACCCAGAGGTGCACCAATAGCAATTCTTCGGCCAATTCCGACTTTCGATTTTTTTATTTTTTTTTTTTTGCAAGAGTGAATACCGACTTTTGCCATTTATTGCATTTTTTTCTACTTTTTTCAATTGACATCATTAATATAAAAAAAGTGTTCTGGAGCGCAAATGTTTATTGTGATCACAAGTAAACACTTCCCACTCAACTTAAAGAGTAGTAGCAGTTATCACGACATATAATATGAAAATATATTATAACAGTCAGGATGTTATATCAATTATATTTAATACAATTCCAGTCAGTAACTCGCCAGAGAACCATGAAGTTGGAGTCTTAATATCCCAGAGCAAACATACAGTCACACGCGAGAGTGTCGCGGAAGTACGTACAGCGGTAGGTAAAATTAAGGAATTAAGAGGAAAAAAATAAAATTAAGGAATTTTAGTAAGAGCCCAACAATTTGAGGATACACTTTCGAGCTAAAAGAATCGACTCATTCCATTGGTCCGTCCCTAAGATCCGACTCTCTCCAAAAAGCAGATGTTTGTCTACCTTCTGCAATGTGACGTAACTGCGGTCGTACCATTTATCCAGTCTATAAACAAGGTAAGTATTAGGATAGACTGTTTTAGATTTGGATGAAACTATTTTGTTTAAATAGTAGAGATGAATAAAATCGTTTGTTTTAATCGTTTATGAAAATTGTTTTAAATTAACTAAGAAATGCATTCAATTCAAATAAGTCTATTCTACAGGGCGGCCATATTGGATTACCCAAATAATTGGTGAAGAAGAAAACCAGAGGGGCTAGGGCAACAGGAAAAAAACCTTTAGACATACACAATAAAACGTGTTACCTTTTTGACATAACCTAATTAAATTGCATTTTAGGTATACTTAAGCATATCATAAACATGAAATAATGTTAATCTATAGGAGACAGTATTATGCATATTTAGGATGATCACCCTGACAACAGAATGTTTGTTTAGACTACAATGTCTCTTTAATGACTTAATTTACATTTACCGTTTCAGCTGAGAGGGTTACAATCATCAGTGACGCTATTACAAAAGGTAAACATCATTCCTTACAGAGATCTGTCACTGTACAGATGATATAGTGGCCTGCTTATATACCCATACATACAATCACATAGTAGAGAGCACAAACTTAATTTATATCTAATAACAACAGTCAACTTCTCTTGGTATTCACAAATGTGAAAGCAAATATAGTTCAAATTTGAAGACATTTAAAATCATGCTTTCAAAAACTTTGGAGTACATGTAAAGTTCTAAAGAAAAATAGTCAGTATTTCCACTTGACCATAAATTGTGGGCTTACTGACAATAACACTGATTGCACTACTCAAACAACAACCCGCAATTAACAGGCCACTTTTATGTACATTTACACCTAACTAAATATTATTATTGTGTTCTGTTTAGAAATGCTGGTCAATACACAAACGGCACAAAGGGATGCAAAAAAATAAATAAAACATGCATAAGAACTGGCTGAACATAGTTCAGAGAATTGGATGTGTCATAAGCACAATGCCATGAAGAGGCATTACTTTGGGCCCACGCTCGGGTGCCATGCTGACACACGGTGCCAGGAGGCCAGAGAGAAGGCGCTTCTTCACTAAACACTTAGGTTCTCTCACATCAACATATTATTGTACACATATTTACGATTCGTACAATGTGACACGTTGGACAGGAAAGAGAACAAATGGGGTTTCAGTGGCTAGCCAGCGATAAACGTACATGTGAGCCCAACTTGTCATTTCTCAGTTTTTATATTATTTGTTGGACAGGGCTCAAAGAATTTTTATACGGCAACCATGGAATAATGGACTGACAAAAAGAAAGGGTCAGTCCATTAACTTTATATATGCAGTTTTATCACTAAAGTATAAACTCCTTCATAAGAGTATTAGATGAATAAGAATAAATAATGTATGTGGGATGAATTATGCAAAAAAGGCAGTATAACATTTTTAAGTGACAGTACAGGTAAACTGTGCTGGTCGGAAAAAAACACAAAAATGTTGAATTATCACTTGAAATATGAATCTGACCTCAAAACATGCAAGTTAAAAAAACTAGAAATGTATTTTTGTTTTTTAAATAAATGTGGTATGTCAGTTACTGACATTAGACTTTTGTTGTAGATCAAGCCAGCTTTAAACCCAAGAGTGCACATGATGAAGTTGCAGCATCTAAACACAGTGGGCCAACAACTCCTTTTTGTTTCAAAAGATCATTTAAAGCATTTTGTCAAAGCTATTCCCATTTTTTTGCCAATGCTCCTCATCGTGTTAGGTAGGAATACACCAAGAGCGCTTGATCAACAAGTCCATGTACTGTATATAATATCAGCGACTTAGTTCATGATACAATTTGTATCAAACAAGGTTTTGCTCCGTCTGATATGGATTTAGCCGGCTTCTGCTACAGACAAGAGCAGATGCTGTTCGCCCAAAAGCACAGCAGGGGGAGCCATTAAATATATTTATATACAGTAGGTACAAGTAATGGCGTCAACATGGGCTCTGTCCGTGGCAGAAACCAGAGCTGACCCAAAATAAAAGACCAGCCAAAATAAAAGACCGGAGAGAGAGAGAGAGAAAGAAAGATAGAAAGAGAGAGAGAGAGAGAGAGAGAGAAAGAAAGATAGAAAGAGAGAGAGAGAGAAAGAAAGATAAAAAGAGAGAGAGAGAGAAAGAAAGATAGAAAGAGAGAGAGAGATGTCCCTTACTAAAACTAAGGTACACACGACAGGGTCACCCATCTCTGCAGCTACAACTCTGACCAAAAATATTGATGTAATCTCCAATAAGACAACCATCGTTGATGGGAAAAACACACACAGCAGCCACACAACAACCCATACACCCGCATAAATAATATATAGAGGCCTGGGTTAAACAGCCGTTTGAAACATTAAAACATGACATTTAATCTGGTCAGGAACTGGCTGCAAAAAAATAATAATTAAAAAAATCACAAACTTTAACCATAATAAGCTGGAAACTTACTGACATACACGCATTAAACACACAATGCACTTGTTGTCTTCTGTGCTATAATGCCTACTGTCCTCCAAATTGGATGGAAATGTACACAAGAAAAACTTAAAAGTTATGCTCGCTAATCAAACCAGTAAGAAGTAAAAAAGCAGAAAGGAAGTGGGGCAGAGAGGAAGATGGCAGGGGTGTCAAGAAGGATATTAGTTAGTGGTGATGTGTTGGAGTTCAAGCAAAGCCTGATTTGGGTCTGAAAGGTACAGCACACAAACACTAGTGTTCAGCAATTTCCCAATAATTCATATCTATTTGTCATGTTTGACTCATGTGAGAACTCTCAACCTCAACTTTCATTTCCTCTCTCTATGCGTCCTAAATTACAAAATGTTAAAATTTCTTCGAGGATAGGCTTTGAATGAGATTTGGACACATGAGAAGTGCTGATTACCACCAGAGGAAGTTGGTGGTTTTTCACAACTGCACACAGAAGTGGTCAATCTGTTTCTTCCTTCCTAAAAAAGATGATAGATGCAATGGTAAATTTTGTTTTTTGATCCTTCATTCTTTCTTCAGTAGCCTACATGGGCCTTCTCTGCCAAGATGGCAGCTGCCAGCTGCTGAGGGTCAGTAATGTGGGGGCTTCTGGACATCACTCTGCTCACCAACTCTGAGGGGAAAATGTTACACAGGTTAACGTACACTTTCTCCCTGGCGTCGCTATAGCAACTGTGTGCAGGGGAGTCAGAATGCTGCATTACATAGGGTGGGGGGGCATGGGAGGGCATTACGAGGTGGGTATTTTCAGATGAGAAAGTGGGAAGAGGGCTGCTAGATGGATGAGAAGAGTGAGCTGGAGGAGGAGGTGGATGGTTAAGGTAATGTGTGGGGGACGGGTGGTGGGAGGAGTGGTGGTGAGCGTAGCCCTCCTGTGTCCAGGGGGGAGGATGCCAGGATGACTGGCGAGTGTCTGGCAGACTCTGATAATCGTATCTAGATGGTGTCAGTGGAGCCTGTCGATAGTACGTGTCCCAGCTGGGGAGGGCTTTAGGACGGTGTTGATGGTGTGAGGTCGAGTGGTGTTCATACAGGTGCGAGTCTGACACACTCTCTGCTCGTGTCGGAGCCAGGCAGCGGCCCAAGGGAGAGCCAGGGGGGTGAGGGTTGGTGTGGGTCACAGAGTGGTAGTCACCGGGGCAGCTAGAGCGAGCCACCAGCGGTGGGTGTTGGAGATGAGGGGGTAACGGGTAGAGAGGGCGTTTTGGGGGGAGCTCAGATGGTGGCTGATCATGAGCACAACTCTGTCTGCGTGTCAAACCTGCATGGTAATTGTGAACACTGGGATTAGCCGTGTGGCTGAGTGGGATGTTTGAATAATCAGCGGGGTGCACAGAACAAAGTTCATGATGGGGGTACAGTCGGCTGTGTGGAGTAACAAAATGGATGTTATCTTCTAGTAAAGCCTCGGGGGGGCAGCCTGGACACGGCCTCTCACTGTAGGAATCGCAGCTGCTGCCACAACTTGTGCTGCTTTCACTGCCACATTCTGAACCTGCTGAGCCCATGGAGCCTAGACGTAGGTCTGCATCGCTGGGGAAACGGCAGTCTGGGCTTCGTCTGGAGGAAAGGCTCAGGCCAGAGTAGGCACGTGTCACTGAGTAATAACTCAGGTCTGGGGACTCACAATGAGGGTAAAGGTCATGACTGGGGGCTGAAAGAAGACTATGTGGGGTGCCTGCCCGAGACTGCTGGTCCTGGGAGAGGTTGAGTCCAGCAGGGGGGCCTCCGGGGGCAGAAGACATGGTTGTACTCCCGCTGTTATTGCTGCTGATGCTCGAAGTGCTGCTCCCGCTGCAAAAACCACTCTTTTGACTCTCCATCCTCCCTTTAGCTAAGAGCTTCTCTTCAGCATCTCCGTAGGACATGGCTCGGATGCTGGGATCCGACTGTCTTTTCGGGGCACCCTTTTTGGCCTCAATGCTTCCTGCTGGCACACTGTGGCTCTTCACCAGACCACTGTCTGCCTGGTTCTTTGGGGTGGTGTTGTTGGTCTTTGCACTGGCTCGCAGCTCGTCGGCAACAGCCCGCTGGGGCTGAGCCCCTCTCTCTGGGTGGTAGTATTTACACTTGTGGCCATAAGTGCACTTTTTTCCTAAAACAAGAAGTCACGAGTGTTACTACACAACTGAGATACAAACGTTGTAGCTACAGTTTAAATGACAGTTTAAAGAATCAATGCATGAAGTTATTGCTGCACTCCAATCAAGGAGTTGTTCCTGGTTTTGTCAAGGTTGACATACATAGTTTTTCTGTAAATGCGTGGGATGAATTGATTGTTTAAAATCTTACTTTTACCAGTGTAAGATTCCACAAGAATATGCAACAATTTCATTTCACTTGCACGCAGGAGATGTCAACTGTAATCTTTGAAAATGACACCGTGTCTGTGTAGTGAGAGTGAATCATCTGTCTCACCGTAGGGACACGGCTGTTTCTTCTGCTCAGGCATTACAGGCCTTTTTCTCAGGAAATTGTCCAGGCTGGGGCCATGTCGGCCGAGAGGGTCGTCTGGAGGCATAAATCTAAAAGATACAGATACATAACATCACTATGACCTTAAGTCATGAGTAACTCTCGATTTAGTTTATTTAACAGTAGTTGTTTGTCATATAAATAAATATATATTTAACCCAGAGACCATGATGAAATCACACTGGTAAAACTAAACCTGAAGCTTTCTCACGCACTTGTCGTTGACATATGAGTACATGAGCAGTCGCTCGTCGATAAACTTCTTCCACTCAGGCTTTTCATTAGCCAGGTCTCTGTAGTTGTCATTGGAGACGATGATGCCATCTGACTCATAGGCCAGCTTCACAATGAAGCGATCATCATAACAGACCACACGACGACCTTGGACTCGCCGTGACGGGGTGAACACCAGGATCTTTTCCTTCTCCAGACGCCTCAGGATCTCCTGATCTGTTGAGGAGGAGGTGGATGCCAATGTTGGACATGATTTCAGTGCTATGGTATCTATATGTACCAAACTGTCTCCGCTTCTCACCTGTTATTGGAGCATCAGGCCTGGATTGTTCTTTCCTCCACGCAGGCACAAACACTGTGATGTCGTTATGGCCACGTTCAAGAAACCAGTCCACAGCTAACTGGATGCCCTGGCAGGAAAACACTTCCTTGTTGCCATGGCTGTACAAGAAAAAGTGTACGGACAAAAAATATATAAATTAATGATTTTACTAAAGACTCTCCTTTATCAAGGCCTCCTTAAGTTTACAACTTCTTAAAATGCACTTATGAATATGGTTTAAAAAAGGTTTATTTTCCTGCACAAAAGTTCATTAACAAGAACTTTTACTCTTAGTGAAACAGGAGCTGCCGTGGCTTAAGTTTTTTTTTCCTTGCATCCTGAGTAGCAGTTCTGATTTTATTTACAGTCAGTTTGTCACAAAATGGGATGGATGTGAGCAGCAGAGATGTACAGAAAAAAATCAAATCCACAACTTAACTGTTATTGTCACAGTCAAACCAGCAGAGGCCTTGTTAGGTTTTATGCAGGAGATACCATTAACAGAAGACAACCCAAACCAGCTCTAACATCTCCATTTGTGGTTGTCTAACTGCAGCCGTTGTTCCTTATAAACTGACCTCATGGCGACATTGCTTCCGTCCACCACCACTGGCCGCAGATTGTCCTGGTCACACAGAGCGTCAGAAGGATAGGGTGAATCTGACCTTTGACCATCCAGTGCATCAGTGCAACCACATGTGGATGAAGAAGAAGAAGAAGAGGAGGAGGAGGAAGAAGAGGCCAAAGACCCGAGTGGCTGCTCACTGTCTGACTTGGTGCCTAGTTTGACCAACTCTCCCAGTATGTCGTTAATCAGTGTGTCGGGGCCCAGCTTGGACAGCACCAGTCTTACTGTCTCCTCTGAGTAGCCCAGCTTCAGGGCAAACTCTAACTTTGCCTGGTACTCCTTCCCACCCACCTCTGCTTTGGATGGGCTGGGTGGATGCACAGGTAGGTTCTTACATGGAGAGATAGGTGGAGAGTGAGAAGGAGAACCGTGCTGAGGCTCTGATGAGAGTTCATCTGGAAGCTCAGGAGGCCCCTCTGTGCCCAAGTCCACACACTGGGTTCGAAGGAGAGGCTGGTGGGAATTTTTACAGTGAGTGGACACTCCCTCTGCTCCATCTGCAGTGAGGATGGAGCTGGACGACTGTAGCTGCTCACAACTGGCCTCAGGTCCAGTGTTTTCTTCCACTACAGTTGGTAGAGAAGGAATGTTGTCGCTAGCGTTTTCCCCCTGCTCCTCCATAGCAGGGGGTCCGTCAGTGTCGCCAGTCTGTGAGTGTGACACAAGACAACATACAGTTATAACAGGCACTGCAACAGAATATCACCCAGTGCAGATGACACAAATCTAAATGTTTTGTATAATCTTTTGCCAACAGTTGTCAACACCAATTTTAATGTTCCCAGCATAAATAAGCATTTTTTACAGTAATTAAAACATTTATTAAATGTAATAAATAAAATGATTTATTATAGCTATGCATAATATGCAAGGATAATTTCTACCAGGGTTGTAATAATGAGTGTGTTAACTTAAATAAGAAAATTAACTCATTTAAGTACACACGTTATTTTCATTAACTGAATTAACTGTATTAATCACAGTGAATCTTGATTAATTGTAATTAATCAAGATTCACTGTGATTAATACACAGATATCCTGGGATTATTCAGATCAAAGCCTGTGATTGTTTAACAGCCCGTATTTTTACACACCCGTATATTTTATAATTTTATGGTGGCAATGGAATGAAATGTGTGCCTAAGTGACCAGTCGTTTAACAGCGAAGAAGGAGACAAATGACAGGCTCCTAAACATTTCTTAATGCTAACCTGCCGGTCAGCCCCGGCTACATGGAGATATTCCAAATCCAGCCCCAGGTGGAGGATACGGCCATCTTCTGCCTCCACATGGTCCTTCTGACCCATGGATCTGTCACAGACATCCAGCACAGGGAGCTGTGCACTGTCGTCTCACTCAGCACCAAACATCTGCATCTGGAGGAACATCATCAGCAGAGAAGCAGTGAGAAGTTTTTATTTTAAAATATTTGTATAGATACAACAGAATGTATTCTTTGAATGTGAGCTAAATTTGTTTAGGACAGCAATATACAGTATACTGTAATATAGATTATCACTTCAGGAAGTCATAAGTAATTGTGATTCAGAAACCAAAAAAAGAGACAAAGATACATATTTTTTTAGTCTGGCTCTAGTATCTATATCTACAGTATATCTATATCTATATATATATATACACATATATATATACACACA